CAATACACTACAGTTTTCAGATGTCTAAATGATCCCTCATGTTACACTGAAATTGACTTGACTTCCCTTCTTTTCAACGTCCATATAAAAATAACAGTCATTTCAAATGATTTTATTTGACCTTCAATGATTTTAATACAGTCCTGCATTGGACTGAACAGCCACCCATCAAGAAATATTATTAAAGCATCTGTTTTTATCATAGAGTGGGCATACAGTTTTCAGGGGGTGATTACTATCCAGAATAGTACTGTTGTTTTGGGTTTGGGTCAAGAAAGATGGAGACTAATTTCACCTCAGCAAAAGTACATTTTGTTTTGGGGTTTTAAAGAACACAACAGAAAAAAACCTGGACAAGTTGGTATTTAAACTCCTTGCTCAGTGCAACATACAAACCAGTGCTACAGCAAATAGAAAACAGCATGCCAAAACTCCACATACAATACCTCTTAAAAACAGCCATCTGCACACAACACAACATGGTGGAGACCCATTGTGTTTAGAAAAAAAATACAATATAATAATAAGAAGAAAATAACAGGTGGTTTTTTTTGTTTTGTTTTTTTGGAGCTCAGGGTCAGAGATATACTAAATTTACATTTTTAAAAATAAAATAACAGGTCCCATAATATCTTACCGAGCTCAGAGTTAGACGCTTCTTCAATAGCAAGCCTTTGCAGACACAGACTGAGGACTTCTCGTATAAACTGATCCCCCATGGTCGCCCGAGGATCCGCATCAAACTCAAACAAGCCGCTTTAAATGCGTCACGTGAGTGGAATGTGGAGGGGTCACATGGATTTCACGCGGTTCTGGAACTTGTGTTTGGACGGAATATGGCCCCAGAATTGCGGCAACAATCGAAAAAAGTTTTTTTTCCCGAAGCAGAGGTAAGAGCTTTCAATTCACTGAAGGTGTTTTGAAAATGTCATTACATCCGCCATAAGTATCTTTCGTCGCACCTGTTAATACTGTTATATGTATTATTTATTTATTATTATTTTTAATACAGTTAATATCAGGGCTAGTTTCAGTACAGACTAATTGCCTACCCTGAACTACATGGTAATCTTGACTAGCCTACACGATTTGAGTAAATGGCACTATGGAAAATGGTGTTTGTTTGTTTATTACTTTAGATAACCGTAGTCATTTCAGTTTAAGTCATTTGATTTAGTTAAACTCAAATCTTCATCTAAAGTAAACAACTAAAACAACAAAAAAATGTCATGGCATCTTTATATAATAAAGTTAATATTGATCATCTTTGGTCTACATGCCAGTTAATAATACAAAATGAAAATAAAGTAATTTTACAGATTTTTTTTAATACCTAATTTAAGAAAAGGAAAAAAAAAAAAAACGTGTTTGAAATAAAAGTAGATACTCTTATCTCACCCTAAACCAGGGGTGCCCAAACTCGGTCCTGGAGGGCCGGTGTCCTGCAGAGTTTAGCTCCAACCCTAATCAAACACACCTGAAACAGCTAATCAAGCTCTTACTAGACTTACTAGAAACTTTGCGGCAGGTGAGTTGGATCTAAACTCTGCAGGACACTGGCCCTCCAGGACTGAGTTTGGGCACCCCTGCCCTAAACCAAACCCGTCTCCAGTTCATTCAAGATTTCTCTGGGCCCTGATCCGTTGTAGTCAGTAGAGGGCAGTCGAGGCATTTTGTGTTGAGCAAGGATCGTTGTACCTTCACTATATGGGGCTGTGTGAGTTTGCCAGTGATTAGTGTGGTGTTTGAGCAAAGCTTTGTTGTGTTTGCTTGACTCAACGCTGTTCACAAGAAAATAAGCTTCTCTGTGTTATCATGCTCTGAGTCTCCACTGCAAATGCTCCATTACACAAATAATGGGTTCTGCTGCTACTGGAGTCACTTTAATTTAGCACCCAAAAATCTTATTACAGTCATTTTTAACATTGCTGCTTTGAGCATAGGAGATCAAGAGCGGCGGCGTTTGGAGAGACTGAATTCAATTTTGTTGGAAATAAAAGACTTGCAACACCAGGTCTTTCTCATTGCTGGAAGTTTAACTGGCTTGCGAGTCCTTGGTCACTGCATGTGAAATGTTGCATTTGAATTTTAGTGCTATCTTTAGTGCTGTCATGGGTTTCAAATGTCGTCCTTTGCATAGCAATAGATGCAGTGGTGCTGCTCGGTCCTGATGGTAAACATTTCAGTTTAGCAGTGTTGCAATGGACCAGATCGATATGTTTTCTTATTCTTCTTATTATCTAATATTTAATTTGTTTAAATTGTAATTGATTTTATGATAAACCTGTGGCTCTACTTTTAATCATACTTGAACCAATATTGTTTTGGTTATTAATTTTGCATGAGCTGTACTAATATAGTTTTTTCTTGTTACATTGTAAAAATGTAGGGTTAATATTAAGGGGTTATATAAAATAAAGGCTAATATTTAAATTTCAACACCATATATTTATATTTTCTACTAAAATGTGCAAAGGCGCCTCATATTGGCCTATATTTACTCTTTGCCTTTGCAACCCACTGTTTGCAATGAGTTTAGAAAGAGTTTTCCTCCCTAAATTAAAGCCCCTTCTTATAGCGACATTGATAAAAATGTAATTGTGATCGCGTGTGCTGCGTGGAATGCAAAATCAGTTTTTCTCTGAGGCAGCTGGGATATTTGCATTGTTTAGAACCCACAACATAATCAGTTTCTGATGGCAAATGCACATTTGCTTTTGCAAGCGAGTGTTGCGTTAATCTTGGGAAAACATGCATTTATAAAAGAACCTAATTTGTTTCTTAAATAGACATGGCATGCAGTTCTTCTCTGATTAATATATTTATCTGACATCATTATATAAGATATTCTGAACATTTTTTAAACATTGCTTATTTTTTGTGAATATTTTATTACAGATTAGTTTGTAATTAACGTTTAGTCATGAATTAATCACCCCAGAGTATAATTTATAAACCAAAATCTTTTAAATACACTTTATCCTTGTACTCCTCTCTTTTTTCTGAAAGATGTAGGCTAAGTTATGTTAATTCGACTGGGACTCTACAGCATAGAACAAATAGATTTCAGAAGCTCTGTACATAAACATTAAAAAAGCAATTTATTGTCTGTTGCTTAATATTAATGTTTGCTTTACAGTGCATTGGCTCATTAGGAAACTTATTGCCTTTGGCTGAGTATATACACAGCTCAGCAGATGAGATGCTAATCCGAGGACCAGAGATGAATGTGTTTGATACTAGTCCCTATTTAGTCAACACGGTTTTACTGAACGAGCCATTTGTCTCTCTAAGTATTTACCCAAAACCCAGAGAAGCGTTCATTCTGCGATCAAGTCTCGATCTGTTCATCCTTTTTATGTGAGATCTGCTGTCCGTGAATATAAAAGTGAAGATGAAGGATGTGTGGTGCTTCGTGCTTGTATAAGCACAGACTGTCACATAAAAGCTGTTGGGACATTGTAGTGCTCCCCTAAGCTTGCAGGGTCAAATTTGATCTGCTTCATGTCCTGAACCCAGTAATTCCTTCCTAACTGACCTGTGTAGTAAAAGAGAAAGCAACCGAAAGCAAAAGCCCAGCACAAGCAAATGAAAACAGTCTACATGTATTCAGATCCTGACTTGAGCTTTGACCTCTTTGTGCCAGAATGCAGTGATATATTCGGAAGTGATCTCAGTAACGAGCTTTCAGCCTGTAGACTGTTTTTCAGTTCAGTGAATCCAGACTTTCAGTCTGGTACCCCTGACCACCTCGTCTCTCTCACCACAGCACTCATGGTTCATTTAAACAAGTGTGACTTCAAGTCAAAAGCATACTAGAAATAAATATGAATGCAGAGCTGGGACTCCCCTGTGCTCTTTGTTACTATACCAGTCATGAGCAAACCATAACAGGACCAAAATATAAAATAAAAATGAAAAAGAATAAAATGAGTACACTGTTCTCTTATGGTTTGTTTATTAAATTAATAAAATATGATATGCATTTATTTGTTTGTTTGCTTTGGCTAATAATACAAGGGCATCATCTATTTTTAACAGGTCAAGACTGAATAAAAAAATATGCTACCCTCTTATGGTTTGCTAAATAAATAAATATTTATTTATTAATTAATTATTAGTAGTAGCAGTAGTAGCAACAGCAGAAACGGCAAACTGTAACAAGACAGAATCCTATCTGTATCCAATTAATTTATGTAATGTAAGTATATGCCTGTGTATATTAATTTATAGTTTATTTCATGCCTATTGTGTTGAAATGAACAAAATGTAAATTAGGCTTCTATGTCAATGAAGTCACCTATTTTCTGGTAAGAAATTAAATTAAAAGACCAAATATAGGCCCTTCCTTCCATAGTGGCAGTGTGCACTTAGCTGCTGACAAAACCCGAAATTATGCTCCTAGGGAAAGAAAAATAGCCTCTGGGGACTCCAATATATAAAAACATTAATAAAGAAATAAATAAGTAAATGCGCCTCATCCAAAGCTGTTACTGAAACTGTCAAAACAAAAAAGCCTCAAACTAATATACATAGCTGAAGTTGCTAGTTGAATTCTCATAATAATCTGTTTGTGAAATTGTTCCCTGAATGTATTCTAATACCCTTGTGAGCATTGATTTCTGTGCCAGGTACAGTACATCTGTGAAGTTCTTATGAGGTGAGCGTGGAATAAACAAGGAATATGCATGCATGACTTCACCAACTCCACCGGGACCCATTATCAGCACCGCTGATGCAGGAAATAGATTGAATGCTTAAAATAATACCCTTGAATAATTAATCAGATGGCTTTTAAATGTGCAGCAAACACACTAGCTTCTCTCTAGGGGAAACAGAATGTGTGATTTTACAAGTGTAAGTTTAAAAACCGAACTGGGTTTACATCTGAAATAGCAGAGAAGCCGATGACTAGGTGGAAGAATTAGATTAAACCCGGTTTGCAGTGGAAAGCCCTCACCATCTATGTATGTTTGCTCTGTGCTTTGATAAGGCAGGAACAGGCTATGGGATCCAACCCACACTGTAGAAAAGGTCAAAGTGTCGGCCATCTTCCTTGATTGAGTTTGTTTCGGTAAGTGCTTTATTTGATCATGCTCTATCTCCATATCTTCTGATTGGAAAGTTGGGTGTCGTTTGATGCACATAAGCAGAACTAAGCAAATATTGGATTTCCAAGTGCTCTTGACCATTTGTGATCACTTATCAGTTTATGAGATGACTAATGTCTCTCTGACTCATTAAACTTAGCAGGGCTTGGAGAGGATAAAACCAGTGCATTTTGAAAGTGCGTGGAGGAGAAATGACAACATTTAACAGTATAGTTGGGTTCAGACTGTGTTCCATTTCTTGCACATTTAGATTAGTTTTATTGTGTCGGTTGTTTAAGAAATTACAAATGTCAGTGGATGACCTTTCGAGTGACATTCCAGTTTCAGATAATATCAAAGCAAGTAGTTGCATTCAATGAGGCAGAAATGCTGCTAGCTGTACTTTGAAGAGGCAGGTTGCTGTAAAGTCTCTATAAACAGACTAGTATACACATAAGACTAGACTAGACAAAATATAAGAGTGTAGAAATACTCATATGTTTCCTCAGTCTCAGCTGGTGTTCTCAGGTTTCCGGTAAATTTGCTTGATAAAGAAAATTAGAAGCAGTTCTTGCTTTTTGGCCTGACACAATGTCTTAAAAATTTGCTGTAATACAATTATTCTTAAAGGGACAGTTCACAAAAGGTATGGAATAGTGAGAATACTATAGTGTTGTTATTGTTAAAGGAGACATATTGCGGAAAAAGGCTTCCCAAAACAAAGTTACTGGGTTAATCTTTTTCACGTTTCCTTGGTTGGTAGATGCACTGGGAACCTGATTAAAGAACTTAAAGGGGTCATATAATGCGATTTCAATTTTTCCTTTCTCTTTGGAGTGTTACAAGCTCTTGGTGCATAAAGAAGATCTGTAAAGTTGCAAAGACTAAAGTCTCAAATCCAAAGAGATATTCTTTATAAAAGTTAAGAGTCAGCCACACCTACCTAAAATGGCTCGTTCTAACACGCCCCCACATGTCTACGTCACAATGTGGGAAGATTTGAATAACGCTGCCCAAATGTTCACGCAAAGAAAGAAGGCGTAACTTTTATTCTCGCTGTAGTATTGTTGCTGCCGCCGCCGTGTCGTGAAGGCGCTGTGTTTCGTTATGAAAGTGAAACTACTAGGGATGCACCGATATGAAAATTTTGGCCGATACCGATAACCGATTATTCTTAAATATTGATATATATATAATGCTATTGTAAATATCTGATGTTGTGTGTTGACAGAAAAGGAACACTGTTGTGAAACCTATTAAAATAAGGCTTTTTGTAAGAAATAGTAATACTTTTGTTGATTTTATATTTGTATATGTGTGTATGTAATGATTACAAATATATTTTATTGTATTATTATTCTTTTGATTATCTCTGATTTGATTAAAAAACTTTTCTTTTTTTTTTTTTTAAATCCAAGCAAATCTGCCATCATGCTTTGTCCAATGTCTCCCTAATAGAAATTAGAAAAACTTTATTTGCCAGTTCTTACATTCAGATAGATTATGAAAAGACCAACATTTGAAGAAGTTTGACTTATCTAATTGTATATGCAGCTGTGGGCTTTACTGCAAATGAAAAGAGACAAGACAGATATGAATGATTTTAAAAGCAAAGCTGTTCCATTACTAACAATCATTCTAATGTTTCCTAAAGGTAACGTTTTGATTCTGGATCTGTTCTCAGGCTGTATAATGGCATTCTTGGCAGAGCACTGCATGTTTTGAGTTATTTGACAATGATGTGGTTCCCTATGCTTTGCCACCTGAACACAGCCACCCTTTTGCTACTGTTCACTTAGACTGTCAAATGACTTTCAAGCATGAAATGAATCGGGTACATCTCACTGGAGATTTTATTAGACTTTTTTAATATATATTTATTTTAGTCAACCTTGTCCTGTTGTTCCTCTGAGATGCTTCTCCAGAGAGGAAATGTCTTGATAGCCTGAAACAAACCGTGTAAAAACACAAGTCAGAGTGTGAATGGGGAGAGAAACTCCTGTATCAGATGAATGTAAATCTTGACTGAACGGAGGACAGGTCTCTCAGTACCACATTATTTGATTGAAGATGATGTCAGCTTTCCATGTGGCATATATTGTTTTCGTTTTAGAGTTATACAGAGTTCCCACGACTTTTGAAAATCCTTTGCACCACAGTTTTGACTCATCATTCTGCCAAGAAGTGACTGCAAAGGTGTCAAACAAAGACACGCATTTTGGTACATTTAATATAGAATACTGTACTATCAGCAGTTCATGCAGTATCTTCACATGGTTGAAATGATGACCGAAAAGGTTGTAGTATAATATAAATCACATAATATACACGGTGGCATTTGATCCAAAATACTTTGTCAATTATAGATATATTGACAATTTATTATGTATTCACTACTATTAAAATGTTTGTGGATTTTTTTAAAAAACTTTTATTCAAGGACACATTGATTTGATAAAAAATGACAGTAAAGACATTTATAATGTTGCAAATGAATTCTGTTTCAAATCAATGCTGCTCGGTTAAACTTTCTATTTATCAAAGAATCCTGAAATTTTTTTTATTGGTTTCCACAAAAATATTAAGCAGCATGACTGTTTTCAACATCAAACCAGCATTGATTTCTGAAGGGTCATGTGACAGTGAACGTGACTGCTGAACATTCAGCAATATTACTGTTATTGTATTTTTTATGCTGATGAACATTCAGCAGTATTACCGTTACTGTATTTTTGTATTGGTAAACATGGAAGAATTTCCAAAACATTTAAAGTTGTTACAAACCCCACATTTTTGAACAGTAGTGTATGTTTGTTCATCATTAATTTGTTTCATTCATAAGTGCTTCTAAATTCAGATATTACATATCTGTTAGTCCAACCAGTAGACTGAACAGTTATATCTGTTTTCTTCTGCAATTTTTTACATTTATATTTATTTATGTCTAAGTGAAGTAATTCTGAAGTTAAGAGATGTCAAACCTTTGTTTTGCAGCGAGGACACAATAAGGAGACTGCATTTTTACACATTAATAGATATGAACATAAATCAGTTTGGTTTTGTGCGCACATATTTTAACAGTGTAGAATGAGAGAATTCATTATTTCATTATATTACTTTGTGCAATGAGCAAAGTACAGTAATAAATTCCAACAGTCGTCATCTCCTTTGTAGAATGATTTGCGTTCTTGGGATGTTTAGCTGATATTGCAGGAAAAGTACCTCTATGAGGACTACTAAAAATAACAACGTATAGGACTACTGTGGTGTTGGCTGACCACATAGTGCGTTTTGGTGGGTCATTAATGTAAACACAGGGAGTTATTTATAAACTGAATGTACAGTACACAGACAGCAATAAAGGTCAGATGTGTAACTTGTAGACAGATGGTGGAGGGGAGTAATTCACAGGCTTTGAGCTGCCTTTTTAGTAATGATAAAAGAAACCTTTCTGCAGCTTGCAGGAGTAAGGTTGTTTTATTGTTTGGTCTGAACCCTTTTTGATTCTACTCCTCTCTCTCTGCCCTGCAGGTCTCTTTTTAAATGTTTGTATTTAGGTACATTTGCGTCATCAGTGCGAGTGCCACCCTGAGTACTAGCGGCAGATGTTTACTGCTGTAGCCAGGTAACAACTCAGGAGGAGAAGGTGCCGAAAATGGAAAGTGGTGTTCACTTAACTTCACTCAAAATGTAGACATACACACAGAATACAGCTTGCACATGTCTAAAGGCACAATCAACAATGAGAAATGCTTCAGATTATGTGTTATATTTATTATATATTAGGGATAATGTACTTGCAGAAGGTTATCACAAAATAAATCACAATGGTAGGGGTCTTTATTTTGCGATAACAACCAACTTAATATGCAGTCTCCTACTTATTACATGGCTACTTGCCACATAAGTAAATAATTAGACACGAAATATTGATTTAAGTTAGCGCATTTTGCTCATTAAACACAAAGCTTCTGCAAAGAAAAACAGTTCAGCTTGGAGCCTATCTGAAGAAACGAGATATGGACCCCTTATAAGGGGTAATGTCCAGTCATATTGCCATTACACAGCTTTTTTTCCACATAATGACAGGCACATGAAATTGATTTGAGAATATTTTTTTTCTTATACTCCATTGCAGTGTACAATTGTTCTTGAACAATTTGTCATATTCCCAGTATTACTACTGATGTCCTTCAGTTTAATTTTAGAGTAAATACAGTCAACAACTGAGGCACAACATGGCACTAGGTGTGTTTGAATGAAACGAGAGAACAAGTGCATCGGCAATAAAATATGAAAGACATGAAAAAGCGCCGACCTCAGATACCCGGATGAGTGGTAATTATGAAGCGTTGCTATTGACAACCGTTATTATAAGGGAATAATTGACCTCGGAATGTCACAACTGACCAATCAGGACGGCATTTCAGAGAGCCGTGTAATAAAACGCATGTCTTCAAATTTTTCCCACAAATTAGGCCAGATTGCTTTGTACCAATAGCAGATCACATGAATGGTATTCCAGAGCAGTTCCTGCTGTTTTCATACTAACTGACGTCAAATGGAGGCTAATCTGGATCTAAAGCTTTAGTGTGAACACACCAAAAACTGTAATTTGGCTCCGCCTGCATTGTGGTTGTTAGTCTGGAAGTGCCGCAGTGCTGTACTTAACTGAATGCGTTATTTTCCTCCGTCCTTTGTGTTCTGGCCTATCACACGTTGGGGATTGCAGCAGTGTAGTGCTGTCAAAGGTAAAACATCATTTTGTCACTGAAGACTGACAAAGGCCTATTAATTAGTGGAGTTTCATTAATCCAGGCAGCTAATTACCCCAGGAGCATGATTTGTGATCTTATCTGGAGAGATAAGGAGTTAAATATGATGATAGTTCTGCTTATCCCTGCTATGGGTAATTGTAATTACTACAGTATAGTGTAAAGGGAACATTGGCAAATTGTCTCAGATTAAAAAATCATTATCGTTC